TGCACACCTTTGTGTTGATTTTTCCACTTCTTGTCAATGACATCATTAAGGGTGGAATTGACATGAAGCACGAAGTGTGGCAATATTTTTCCGTTCTGAGACAAATTTTAGATATTTGTTTTGCAAAATCTTTAAGACCAGAGCTGATAAGTGTTCTCGATCCGCTTGTAAATCAGCACCATCATTTGTACGTTAAGATTTTCAAAGACACATTGAAACCAAAGTTTCATAATATGCGTCATTACAGACTTATCATTGACAAGTCGGGTCCTTTGGCACATCTTAGTTTGCTCAGATTTGAATCAAAACATCGAGATTGCAACATCAACATCGTCCAGAAAAAATCCTTGTCATACGATTACTATCAAGGAGCAGTTGAAATTGTGCGAACGTCTCCTCAGCAACCAAGGATTAATTTCGAAATTTGAGATGGGTGACGGTAATTGTGTGAAATCTATTATGACCGATGAATATGCACGAAATGTTGGTGATTCTCTTCCACCTGAATTTTTACAACCCTGTATTGATACACCTTGGGTTCATACTTCGGGAGTTAAGTTTAATGTTGGGTCATTCGTGATTCTGGACGTAAATCCAGACGGCCTTCTGGTGTTCGGTGAAATTCTTAGAATTTTTGTAAATAACAAAAGAGTACTTTTTATATGTAAAGAAGTGCAGGTTGAGTGTTTCAATGTCGGTTTGCATGCATTCGAAGTTTCGGTAACTGAGAAAGTTACTAGTCGTTTAATTGAACAATTAATTTCGCCACAACTTGTAATTCATTATTTTCTCTCGGATGGGCGAAACATGGTGTCACTTAAATACGCTGTTTAAGATAATAAATAATATATTTTTTATAAATCAACCATGCATGTAGGTAGGTAATAAAATAACATAATAAATAATAATAATAACATAATAATTCATAATAACATAATAAAACATTTCCTAAAAAAATCTCCTCTTATATGTTGCATTTATAAAAAATATTCTTGCAAAAAAAATATTTGCACTAAATCTAGAAAAAGTCATCATTTTTAAAAATAAGCAATGACTAGCAAAAATAGTTTGTGGTTTTCTGTAAAATAAATAAAAATTATATTGCTACGTATTCATATAAATTGCAGTTAATGTTTTTTTAGTAAAAAGTAGGGGAATAGTGTCAGGGTTGGACACAGTTTTGGTTTTTTGTTTATAAATATTTTGTTTAGATAAATTCAGTCAATTGTGGCATATGGGTGGAAAGATCTACAAAAGAGGAACACTTTTGCTGTGGACCGTAAATTGATTGGTCCAAAATTAAAAAAGTTATAAACATTAAAAAAAAAAAATCTAGTCAGGGTTGGACTTTTCAGTCAGGGTTGGACACTTTTTGAAAATCGAAACGCATTATTGGTAAAAACGTAAAATAACATTTGTAATGTTTTTTATTCTTATTTTTCCATGTTTATCTTTACTTATTGTTTACAAATTGTAAAGCTTCATGGGTTTAAAAAAGGAATGAACTTAAATTACAAAAAATAACGCTTTATTGTTCCAAATAACTCAATGAAATGATGAACAAAATTTATACAATTTAAGTATTATTTTTCTAATATCTTTGGCACAATTTTGCACTAAAATATCAATAAAATAAAATTTATTTGTATATTTATTTATAAATTGGGTGAAATTCATAATTAATATGGGTGTCAAACCGTAACTGTATAAAGTGTCCAACCCTAACTAGAAGCATCATTTTCGAATTGTGCTAACCATAACCAGACATGTGTCGCGATTCGATTTTTCACTTTTTTCTTCTTAAATTATGTACCCCACAATACATTCAATAAGCTTACCTTGCCGAATTCTTGCTTTTTTTTACACATTTTTTAGGTTTATTCACAAGTCAAACAAAACTTTTTTTGTCTCTTCGATTGCACCGAAGTCACAGGAGACGCTACTTTTGATTCTCCAAAAATGTAATGCCACAAAAAGTTAGGTTACACTACTAGAAGATTCGTCACGTACGCACACAGGTGACGCTAGTGTTCTTATTTAAAAAAAAGCCAAGTGTCCAACCCTGACACTATTCCCCTATAATATTTTAATTCAATAATATCGAATTTAATTATAAATTTTTTAAGAAAGTGTTATGAATTAAAATATTTATTATAAACATTGAAAAATAATGCACTTTGTTTATGCGTTCTTATTTAATTTTTTTTTGTTAATCTTGTTGAAATAAATTGATATTCAAATTATTAAGAATTTATTTAAACTGTATACTTTATTATTTATGTTTTAAATGAAACCAGGGTGGCTAGTGGACCGGGAAACCGGGAGTTCGAAATCGGAAAAAAATCTCGACCTTGGAAGCACGAAATACAATCCACACATTATAGGTTATGTTTGCCATATTTAAAACAAAAGCAGCCATTTTAGATTTTTAACTGCTTTAAAGGTTGGTGCTACTGTACTGTGAACATGTTACTATAACTAAACGGCTGTCTAGTAAAGCATACTCTTATATTGGTCCGTCGAAAATTAACAAGACTGTTTAGTTACCACAAACCAACCGAGAGTCTTACCCACTATCCAGTTCTCTCCGTGTAAGAAATGGATGGAAACTAATTTTTTTACTGTAGGTCTCACATTGGGCCCCCAAAGATGAGATTTTTTTTAAACCTATTTGTTTGTCAAAAAATGTTGGGTCCAATCCCAGACATTGGGACTAATATTTTGGGCACTTATACAACATGTCTGAACGCAGAATTTCATAGGGATTACGAATTTGATACTGGAAATTAGTGGTCTCATTTAAGAAAACCACTTTTTCCATTGTATGGCCCAACATTGGGCCCTGGGCCCAATTTTTTGATTTTAAAAATGTAGATCTTTTGGTTTGGAACAACTTTTGTCTTGAACATTTTTTACGAAAATTCGTACTTTTCGAGATGTTTGCAAGTTTCCATACTATACATATAATGGACGTGAAAACTAAGATGCGCGCGTCCCGCCGCGCCGCACGAACGTTTTAATTTTTTTCTCGCAAAGTTCTTGCTGTCCCATTATGAAAATTAGAGAAGTTATTCTTAACATCATAGGCAATAAGTAGAAAAAAAATTTTTGAAATCGAAGAGGTAGTTTTTTCAAAAAATGAATTCAAAATTTTTTTTGCATTTTTTCCGGGCAAAAAAAATTTTTTTTTCCATGAACTACTTTTTTCTTAAAATAGCATCTTTTTGTGAGAAATTTGAAAAAATATTGATTGCATTTGGATAACAAGAAAAAAAGTTACATGTTTTTTTTTAAAAATGACATAAATTTTTAATTAGAGATATCTCAAAAAGTTTTGAAAATTTTGAAAAATTGTTTGTGGGCTTCCATTCTGTACACATAAATGAACATATTTACAAGGTTTCAATAAAATTGTTCCAATCATCAAAAATTCTTGTGATCAAATCCCATGGAATTGCTCTATGGGCTTGTTCTTAAATTGTTTTTTATGATTTAAAAATTATTTAAGATTTGTTTAGCGACGCTATAACAAAATTTTTTCTTAATTAAAACAATATGTGAAAGTATAGTTAATCATTTAAACAAATTCAATAGTTAAATTTTTACAATTTTCGCTATTATTTGGTTATCAGGATGTCTAATAAGGATTAAGAGAAAAATTCCCTGACATTTCCCTGATTCCACCCTGAAATTTTTTTATTTTTCCCTGACTTTTTAATAACTTTATTTCTGCTTTCTTTGGACAAAAATATGGTTATTGACATATTTAATGATAGAACGTCCAAGCGCCCGTCCTGCCGGAAGGCTTTTTTGGATAGCCCTATATATATGAGGGTGGTAAAAAGGGAACTCAAAATTTTTTTCTGTCACCCTTTCCTATTAAAGTAGACGTAAAAACGAAAAAATTCATGCGTTAGACTTTAAAAAAAATAATATTAAACCATGTTTCGAAGCCTTCAAACTTTGCATGTTTGCTACAAGCCAAAAAAACAGTTTTTCGTAAATTCACTGTAAAATCTACAAAAACCAATATTTTTCGGTCTAACTACTCTCATTTTCTTCTGAAGCCTTCAAAGAATAAAATGTGATAGTTTATTTTAAAAAAAATTCAGTTTAAATATTTTTTTGGATTCGTCAAAAAAACCCTATAAAAACGTCCTTTTTCTTTGAATTCCCTAGCCTAGGGATTTTAATTTACAAACTTTATGTTCATATGCGCTAAAAGCTTGTGTTTTTACCTTTCCAACGATATATTTTACTTTTGGATTATCTGAATCCATGTTAATTTTATAAAGCGATTTCGGAGGGACTCACGTGAGTCTTTTTCATCCTGCCGGAAGGCTGTTGGACGTTCTATCATTAACAATAAATTAATTTCTAATGGTAGTAACAAATGGTAATAAAAACCATTCAAGTTTTTTTAGATTAAAAAACTTTTAAATTCACAAAAATTTTAATTTTTGTAGAAATTTCCCTGAATTTGAATAAAATTTTCTGAAATTCCCTGACTTTTCCCTGACCAACAAAATTCCCTGACTTTCTCTGATTTCCCTGACCGTTAGACACCCTGGTTATACAAATAGAAAAAAAAACACTGAACAGGAGTTTTGAATGGAATATATGTGTCGCACAGTCTTGAGAAAATTTTGTTTCCCAATAATTTGTCTCTGATAACATACGATACAAGTAGAACGATATAAAATCCTCAAGTGTAATTTTTTTATTAATTAAAAACTTAATATCACCAATTGCAAGAGAAATGTATCCGATTTTTATTTATCTGCTTTTTATTCGATGTTTTGAGCAAGCAGAAGATTTTTAGAAAAAAAGAACTTTTGAAATCCGTTAGAAGAAACATGATTTTTTGAAACTGATAAAGTAAAATGAATACTTTTGGAAATCTTTAAGTGAATCTTATATTGTTTGGAGGTTTTTTATCTTCACAAAAAATTTATTAATTCTCTGTATACCTAATTTCTGATAAAATTTATTGTACTTACTTCATCATCATCATCCAGTCTGACTCGTTTTAATGCTACAATTTCGTGAGTTTCCCGATTTTTGGCTTTGAAAACTGTACCATATGTACCTAAAAGAATATATAATTATTATGAAAATTTGTTACAGTAAATAACCTAGTAAAAATGCCTAATGAAAATTAATAGAAAACAATTAGATCCTAATAGATGGCAAATGAGGTTTTTAGAAGGTTTAAAAAGAATTTTAATTTTTAATGGAGTCTATTAGAATTCTACTAGGATAAAAATAACAAATAATTTGCAGATTATTTTTCGAATAGAATCTGTTATGATTCTATCAACTTAAATGATATCATCTAATTGGAAAGAACTTTTTATTAAGGATGCTGTTAGGGTATTACTAATCAATATAAATACACGGAAAAAAAGTTGGTCAGATTACACAGGTCTACAATATAATACTTTTTTTTAAGGTAAGGGTTATTAATATTTTTTTTTCTTAACCTGACGTGCTAAAGACTTTCATATAGACCCAAATTAGACTTCAAATCGTACACTGTACGACCCATATGCGCAGGATACAAAAACTTTTGAAAAAAATGTGTGTGTGAAAAATATGTGTTTTAGGGTTTTCAGTATTTTTTTTCTCCATAATCTGACGTGCTAGAGACTTCTATATAGGCTTAAATTAAGGCTTAAAACGCATACTTTATGACCCATATGCTCAAGATAAAAAAAATTTGTAATTTTGAAAAAAATTAATTTCAAGACACCCAAAAAGTTTATTGGGATTAATTCCCCCATTTTTTCCAAATTTGAAATTTTTTTTATCTTGCGTATATGGATCTCAAAGTGTACGTTCTAAGCTTTAATTTAAGTCTATATAGAAGTATCTAGCACGTCGGGTTAAGGAAAAAAAATGAAAACCCTCAAAAACACTGTTTTAGAAGACTTTACCCCCTTTTTACTCAAAATCCTGACGTGATACGGAATTTTGGAACCAAGGATCGTGTTCAGTACAAAAAATTACATTAGAAACCACACTGATAATTAAAAGAAAAACTCGTAGACTTGTGTTATCACTGTGGTTGGGCATGTCAGGCCCCGACATGACGCACGGACAGAATGTCCACTTTTTCATGGAAATGCACCATATGAACATGTAAGATAACTTATAATAGCAAATCTATGTTTACAACATATTCTCAGCACATTTTTTTAAATACCCTGACATTTCATTGATAAAAAAATTTTCCTGATTGTAGCAACCCTGATAAATAAATACATACAGAAAAAATGAAATTCAAAACTTTTCATTCAAGGGCCAACGATTTCTAGTTTTAAAAAATCATATGTTTCTTTGATCTAGATTTTTAATTTAAACTTCTAAAATGTAACAGTCGTAAAAATTGGATGAAAAAAGTTAGAAAAATTAAATAACACGTTCACAACAAAAAAATAAATTTTTAAAGACCAGTGGCGGATACCTCAAGCTTACATGTAATTTTTGTAAGCTAACCCTGTAAGCTTCAGGTAAGGTCGAGGTAATATAAAAATGTCCGCCATACAGTAAGCTTACACAGTAATGCCATGGTAAACTTACATGGTAAAGTCATGGTAAGCTTACATGGTAGGGGCACTGTAAGCTTACACGGTAAGATCACTGTAAGGTTACAGTAAGCTTACACGGTAAGCTTATATTAATTGCTAACAAATAACAAAGTATTAATTTATCAACTTACAGTAAACAATAAATTGTTTTGCACAACTATATTTATTTTGTCATTTATATAAAAAACCCCGGTAGGGTTTGCTTAAAAAAATTTACTGCTCATTCGTAAGTGCCATAGAAAGCTACTGCGCATAAATATTTTAAAAAAATTATTTATTGATACCTTTGAAAACTTGCCGTGTAAGCTTACTGTAACCTTACAGTGACTTTGCCATGTAAGTTTACTATGGCCTTTCTGTGTAAGCTTACTGTATGGCGAACATTTTTATGTTACCTCGACCTTACCTGAAGCTTACAGGGTTAGCTTACAAAAATTACATGTAAGCTTGAGGTAAGCTTACAGCAATGGTACCCGACCATTCCCCCGAATCATATTCCCCGAATGTACATTTCCCCGATGTCCAATTCCCAGAAACTCATTTCCCCGAATCGACAAAAAGGACATTTCCCCGAATTTTTCCCCCGAATACACAAAAAGGACATTTCCCCGAATGGAAAAAAATTGCTGCAAAGAAGAAAAATATATTTTTTCCAAATATTTTTACAAATCGAATTTTCAGCATGAATTCGAAAATAATATAAATATAAAAATGAAATATAAATAAATAAATAAAAATGTAAAAATAAAATATAAATAAATAAATAAAAATGTAAAAATAAAATATAAAAATGAAATATAAATAAATAAATAACGGTTGTCGGGGAACTTGCATTCGGGGAAATGTCTATTCGGGGAAATGACCGGGAATCTACAGCAATATACTGTGCTGTGTGGGATGCCGCCCTTTCTATTAATCCTTTTTATTCACCTTAAGTTTTTGAATCTACATAACAAATGCGTATTTTTTTAGATATTTGCGATAATATAAAATAAATAATTATATTATTATATTTATTTCCTCCGTAAAATGAGATTTTAATCAATATTTCAGTTATTAGGCATTTTTTTGAATTTTTCTTTAGTGATCCGATTGAAAATTGTTAAATCATAACGTATGGCTAACAAAATTTTTAATAATTTCATTTAATTTAATTATTTTTGAACAAATTACCGTGAAAGCATGATTTGTTCTTTTCGAGAGAATCACCCATATAGATATAAACAAAAGTTACACTGCCCTAAAAATCTCAACTTTTTCTCTGCGAATAAAATTGGACATAGTGTTTTCGAACGGATTTTTCGTGCTGAACACGAATCCGAGGTCAAAAACTTTCCATCACATCACGATTTCTAAAAAACAGGGGTTGTAACTCCTAAAAATATCGTTTTGGAACATTTTTGAAAAATGGTACAGCTAAACCCTGACGTACTAAAAACTTCGCTGACATCAGGAATTAAAGGCTGAATCGTGACCTTTAAAATGACCCTGTAAAAAAAGTTGGATAGCGAGAACCGGGAAAACGTATTGAAGCTCGGTATGTTGAATCCGTTATTTGAATTTTAACATATTGGAGTGTTAGGTCGAATCCGTTGTGTGTAGTTAGTCCAATACGTTCGATTGAAAATAGCGTTAAAACGAATGAAAAAACGTTTTAATTGGGATAAAAGTGACCTTTTATTAATAAAAAGGTTAAATAAATTGTGGAGAGAATTAGGTTATTTAGTAAATGTGTTACCATTGAAGAGAGCTATTCGTCGGGTAAGTATGCTACTCTTTTTACCGACAATGGATACAAGTTATTGAATTTAAATTTCTATTGTCGGTATAGAACTGAATAGAATAATTACTTTTTTTATAAATTAATTAATAGCAGTTAATGTAAATAGTGATGATGGTTAATTACAATTTGGAAAGGAAAAAATTATTACAACTGATTTAGTTTTTAGTTAATAAAAGGTATAAAAAGAAAATTAATTTAAGGCCTTATACTTTTTTTAATATATTTATTTATTTAACACATACATGGGCATTGTAAAAAAGTTGTGGTTATTTTTATTAATAATCAATTAATATTCGTGAATAAATAATTTTGTCTTACCTTTAAAATGAGAATTTAGTTTATTTATTCTCATTTCCTTTCATTTATTATTGCACTTATTATTATTCATTAATTTTCTTGTTTTGTCTCTTTATTAATCACTATTTACATTAACTGCTATTAATTAATTTATAAAGAAAGTAATTATTCTATTCAGTTCTATACCGACAATAGAAATTTAAATTCAATAAATTGTATCCATTGTCGGTAAAAAGAGTAGCATACTTACCCGACGAATGGTAACACATTTACTAAATAACCTAATTCTATTATTTTTAATTGAAAGTTCCATTTTTCTCTTAATTCTGGTCTCTCCACAATTTATTTAACCTTTTTATTAATAAAAAGTCACTTTTATCCCAATTAAAACGTTTTTTCATTCGTTTTAACGCTATTTTCAATCGAACGTATTGGACTAACTACACACAACGGATTCGACCTAACACTCCAATATGTTAAAATTCAAATAACGGATTCAACATACCGAGCTTCAATACGTTTTCCCGATTCTCGCTATCCAACTTTTTTTTAACAGGGGAGCTCTATGCCAAACTGTTCGCATGCACCCTTAGAACAGGGGGTGTGTGTATATCTAGAGGTGCAAGAAAAAAATGTAAACAGAAAATAACAATTTTCAATTCTGTACATTTCAATAAAAAATGTACTGAAAAAAAGGTTTGGTATTGACAACCAAACGTTTGGTTAGTTTTTAAGCAACTAAAATTTTTTTGTTGAATCAACAAAATTTTGGTTGTCCCAATTAAACTTTAGTTAGGACAACAAAAATCGTTTTTTCTACTTTTTGTTGTGTTAAACAAATTTTGGTTGAGACAATTAATATTAATTTTGTCTGGCACCTGGAGGCTTTCGAGTCCGCTGGTTACGAATCTTAAGTTAGATTACAAAAATTCACAATGGCGGATCCAATATGGCGGACATAAAAATTCATTATATCTCAATAAAATATCGTACCGCCATTTTAAATTTTTGAAATCTGCCTTCAGATTCGTAATCATCGACTCCAAAAACCACTAGGTACCATGTTTTATTGAAATTTACTGAATTTAAAATTTTTAAGTTCAGTTTACATTTTTTTCTTGCACCCCTAGATATAAACACAATCCCTAGTTTAAGAATGCGAACAGTTTGGCATAGAGCTCATTTTAAAGGGCACGATTCAGCCTTTAATTTCTGATGTCAGTGAAGTTTTTAGCACGTCAGGGTTTAGCTGTACCTTTTTTTAAAAATGTCAAAAAACGCTATTTTTAGGGGTTTCAACCCCTGTTTTTTAAAAAACGTGATGTGATGGAAAGTTTTTGACCCCGGATAATTAGTCAAATAACTGTTAAGTGTTTTTGCGCCGTGCTTTTTGAAATGAAAAAGTGTGGATTATCTCAT